CAACTTGGAAATATAGTCTGCTAACATATAAGAAAGCTCTCCGTAAAGCTAGAACTTCATATTAATCATCTTTAATAGATGATAATAAAAATAACCCTAGGTTTCTGTTTAGTACTATTGCTAGACTAAGTAAAAGTCCCATCTCTGTTGAACCATGTATCCCTACAAGTATAAGCAGTGATTACTTCATGAGCTTCTTTTTAAATAAATTTATTTCGATTAGAGAGAAAATTCATCGTTGGGTTTGGCACATTTTGTACTCAGAACGCAGACTCAGATGCTGAAAACTATATTCAATCAATTCATTTTGAAGAAATATAACAAAAAATGTTTTTGAGGCAAATTAAAACAAAAACAAAAACAAATGAATACATAACATGTGGGGTACAAAACGGGGCTGGGAATCCAGAAACAATAAGTCATTTGGAGATGGATGCAGGGACGAGGGACAACTGATCATCTGGAATGATGGGCAGATGAGCTGCAGGTGTGCAAAAGGAGCTGAGGCAGTTATGACGGAGGGAAAACAACTGTCACAGGGAGGAAGTGAAATAACACCGGCTGCACAGCAGGTAGCTGAGTGGGCGGAGCTTGTGCTCCATTTACATGGAGCATCAGATCCAGCTGCTAAACCAACTAAAGCACATGGCGGATGTAAACAAAACACAGTGGCTTTGTTTGTCTGATCCAAACGTGATGAATAAAATCAAAGCGCAACATCGTTTCTGTGGTCCAAGCTCTCATCGTAAACATGATCATAAATTTGCTAAACTAAAATACATATAGGCGTTCTGTAAGTAAATGTTTGTTTCAATTGGAGTATTTGTTTTGTGGTTTTAGCAGGGATTTTCTGAGATCATATATTTGTTGTTTGTTAGATTGGATGGTTTAAATGTTCTGGTTAGCTTTCTTGTGGTATCAGACGGTTTCCTGTCGAACCTGATCTCTGTCGGATGATTGACACTCACCTGTTCATCCTCTGTTAGTTTCATCAGAACATATTTAGCTTGTCTATGTTTCTTGCTCCTCCTTTTCCTCCAGCTTTTTGCCGTTTGTGTGTCTTTGTCACAACTGAACCTCCATTAATCTTCCCTTCTTGCACACTCAGTTCTGGATTTGGGTCCTCCACCTGCACACCACGACATGCTTGAGATTATTTGCTTTACTGGAAGTGAGCAGAGGAGATTTAAGCTCCTGCTGCTCAGTCTCCTTCACCTTCCTCACCCTCACTGATGTGAAGCTGTCAGGTCATTTGTTTCGTTACGTCTGCAGGCTGCTAGGCTAATGGCTAGCCAACAAGGGCCTGTGTTTATCCATCTATTATCTTTAGCCACTTCCTCCTTTTTGGGTTACGTGGGTCACTGGTGCCCATATCCAGTAGTCACTGTGCGAGAGGCAGGGGACACCCTGGACCCAAGTCCAGGCCTGTGTTTATTTATTTATTTTTATTATTGTTTTTTAGTCTTATTAAACCACTTTTTCTCAGAAGTGGTATACCGGGGTAAAAGAATGCTAATCCTCTACACTTTTGAATCTTTTGATTAGCCTGTCATCATTTTCTCAACAGAACAACGTACGTGTTCTGATAGACAGTCCGTGTTTGTGCCCATGATATTTATAGCATCTAAAAACTTGCATTAAAGTAGAATGTTAAGCATTTTACTCTACTTTAAATGCATGAATTGTTTTTCCTCTCACTAAAGTTAAAGATTTAGGTGCTTCAGCTGCTTCTTGTTAACCACCTTCATTTTACATAAAAAATAAGTGATTTAATTAGTTAAATGTTATTAACACTTATGACTGTTAGCCAGAACAACAAAATAAATTAGCTGAATGGAAAACATAACGACTATCAGGCTGGCATTCTTCATCCAATTGGATGACTTCAGTTCATAAATATTAAAGTTATTCTTTATGATTCTGGAGACAACTGTTCGGCAGTGACGTTAAATAACTACAGGTATTTACCCAACAGTCCAGGTAGATAAAATCTCCAAAGGAGTGTTTTATTATTTTTTGAAGCAGTTTTCTTATCAAACACATCAGAAGTTTGGAGTTTTACTCGCCGCCTGTCAAAGTGGAGGGGTTGTTTCATCCAAAGGGAGGTGGGCGCATCATGCAGCGACGGAAATTACTAAGAGATTTACTCTTTACTTACAAGAACATTTCCCTTCTGTTTGTGTTACGGGTCTGACAGTGGCCGATCAGAAACTTCTCTGAACTCGTCCAGCTGGGCCTCAGATCAGCTCCTCATTGTTCCACATGAGTCATGCGTCACTCAATTCCTTAAATTTGATCCAATCAGAAGCAACGCACAACACAAGAACAAACAGGAAGTCGGTCCGAGCAGTTCTTCCTCACATTTTATCCTTGAATGATGTCCCTATTGAGTTTGTCGATTCCTACAAATATTCGGGTATCTTGGTCGACTCGCATCTCTCTTTTAAGCTTCACGTGGTAAAACCTGGTAAGGAAACTGAAAGTTCAACTGGGTTTCATTTTCAGAAATAGATCCTGTCTAACTCTGAACGCTAGGAAACACCTCGTAACTGCGACTTTCCTTCCCTCCATTGATTACGGTGACATTATTTACATGAACGCTCCTACAAGCACCCTGCAGATGTTGGATGCTGTCTATCATGGTGCACTAAGATTCATAACTGGCTGCACCACTGCACCCAGTATTCACTGGTTAACTGGACATCATTAACTTCACGCAGACTCCCCCACTGGTACATTTTCATCTTTAAATCACTTCCTGGTCTGCTGCCTTCATACATCTCCTCCTACATGTCTCTGTGTGAGTGCAGCTACGGCGTGCGCTCTCAGGACATCATTACCTGCAGTGTTCCCTCAGCGAGGACTGAACTAGGCAAAAGGTTCCTCTCCTACTCCGCTCCTGTTTCCTGGAATATCTTACAAAAAGAACTGAAGCTCTCGACCTTGACCTCTCTAAGTGACCTCAAACATCTAATAAGTTCCTGGCAAAAAACTTTTTAGACATGTTCCTGTTTTTAAGTTATAATCTAGCTGTTTTCTTTTGTTACATTTTCTTGTAAATACTTTTTTTTTTTTTTATCTCAATTTGTACGCATCCTTTATGATTGTCCACTGTTGTCATCGCTCTTTGTTAAAATCAAGTCTCTCTTGTAAATGAGTCCCCGAGGCTCAATGGGATTAATTTGTATAAATAAAGGTTGAATGCATAAAACATGCCA